CGGCAGGAGCCCGGGGCTGGCACTGCAGGGTACCCACCCAGCTTTGGTTGTCTTTGCTCTGGCACCCTCCTTACAGAGGAGTGCGGCTGGATGGAGCGAGGGATCTCACCTTTGCAGGTGGGAGTACTGCCTTCGGTAGCCTTGGCCTGCATGTACAAAGAACTTTATTCCCGAGCTGTAACCTGTGTGATTCTGAATGACAGACGCAAAATAGAGGAGACTTTGTTACATATTTGTGATTTCATTTTTAATTTCCCAAATCCATCAAGTCCTGATCTGTCTAAGCCTAGCTCCAGGTAACCAGTATAACAATAGTGAAGTCTGGCTTGGAGACCCTTGAGAGACAGCGTCTCTCAAGCAGTTTAAGTCAGCTGAGAAAAGCATGTGTGTGTCTCCAGCCACTTTTGTGTTTCTGGAAATCCAAGACAGCATTGTGCTGCTCCCCCTAGTGCCTGGGGGGAGCAGTCACACTCTTGCAATTCTTCAGAAGATGCACTCCTCCTTCTTGAACACTGCCCTTGAACATAGGCCATCTACAAAGGCCAACCTTTGTATTTTCCTAAAGACCAACTGCGCACTCCAGCATAGGCCAGTGAAAAGTACCTGCTGCTCACAGTCCTCTTCCTAGCACAGCCCAAAGGGCAGGAGCATGGTCATTGCCTTTGTTGTTGTTGAAGACCGTAAACCTTTCCCAGCCACCCTGTGGGTCTGCTCTCCACACCACCAGCACATGTGCCTGAGCCTCATTGGGCCCTTTCTATCTACACCCCACATCCTGAAGAAGCATTCAGCACCTCTTTCAGGTGACTGTGTTCCATGAGGGACAGGGCTGGATACACAGAGCCATAGCAGTTCCTAAGATCAGATGGTGACATTCTTTTCCTAGGTGGCTCTCAGTTGCCTTGAGTCAGCCAGTCCAAAACATTAGTCCCAGGATCTGAAGAGGCATTTAGAATTATAGAACAGTTTGGCTTGGAATAGACCTTTAAACACCATCTAGTCCAGTAATAAGCAGTGACATCTTCAACTAGGTCAGGTTTTTTCCAGGGAGAGGGCATCTACTACCTCTCTAGGCAACCTGTTTAGACTTGACTGAATTTGCCACTTAGGCCTGTTGACTGAATTTATAGGTCAATGCCCTTGCAAGCCTTAGACCTGGGCTAAACTCAACATAATTTTCCCCCCTTTTTTTAGGAAATTTGATGACAAATATTCTCAAGCATTATCCAAAGGGGAAAAAAAAACCAACCAAACCCCAAAGAGATGTGATGATTAATGGCGTAACTGAGCTTGTATCAAGAAGCAAAACCGCGCACAATCCCACCCCAAAGGGGACTGTCTCATTAGATCTGCTCTGCAGGGAGGTGTTTGCCTGGCTGCTGAGCTGGCTGAGCTGAGCCCCAGTTGCCTCTACTGGCACACTGATGGAGAAAATATTACAGCATGGCCACAGGCCTGGGGGAGCAGCCAGACCAATATATCAGCAAAGGAGGCATCAGAACAAATGAGGGAGCACATGAGCTGCGTTTCGGCTGAAATCGCTACATCCTGAATGACTGCAGCTTGTTTACACACCTAATGGGGAGTGGTGCAGATGGGAAGTGGGATTTAAAGCCATCACAGAACTTTAAAAATAGCACAGTGAAAGTCATTGTTCCCCTTCTCAATTAGGAGGACAGGAAATGAAAAACCATGAGTGAAGAGACTTTCTGCTCCAGCCCTGGGGGAATGACCCAGAGTCATGAGAATATAGGCCAGATATTGAAGCAAAGAATGAGAAGCAGCAGGAGACAATGGTATATAATTTGTGTGGATAGACTGTAGCAGTCTCTGCAGAAAGAATTGCAAAACATTCTATGGAGACTATTGCTGTGGGCAACTGCTCATGCGTGAGCAGAAATGGAAAACTGCTGGTGACATGGAATAAAATTCTTCACTGCACCTTGGTTTCACAGTGGACCATTCAGTATCATTTCGCTAACATGGACATTTGTTTTGAGTGATAACAGTAATTACGTGATTAAACAGAGCAAAGAAAAATATACATCATACACATAGAAATTCTTTGCTGTGTCTTTGGGGAAACTGCAGAAGTATTGTTTTCCAAGTTACTTGGAGTTAGAAGGGAAAAACACTGAAGACTGTGTACTAGAGAACACTGGTGTATGGACCAAGGGATGAGCAAGCCCATTTCTCTTTGGAACTCAGTGTATCGCTGAATGCATTTTTAAAGGCACAAAAATTCACATGAGGATTTTCCAGTTTTCAAGCAGTCAGAAGCAAGATGATGGGAAGGAAAGGAGATTATCACTATAGGGTAGCATTAGGAGTAGGACATGGTGTGAAGGAAAAGCTACATTCCAGACAGAAGTTACTGCGCGTGGTGTAGGGCAACTACTGCTGGAGAAGCAGGGTACTCAGGGACTGGGGGACAGTCACATTGGAGGAGGAAAGAAGTCAGGTCTGAGAGGCATAGGTGGATGGGAGAGTGAAAATCAAGAAAAGAAATGAGTGAGGATGGAAAAAGGAAACACGTGTTTGTGAGCAAAAATAGTTACAGTTGTAGGAAGCCTGTGGAAACAGACTGCTTGTTCCAGGTGTTTAACCGTAACCAACTGTGGTATTTAGAAGAGACACTTCAAAATTGCAGTAACAATGACTTTGTGAAGTAGATAAGTGCTGACAGGGGAGCGAGGCAAAGATGGAAAGATTGAAAGGCAGAGGAGGAGTCTCTGTTGGTGTGGGACTAGAAGGGGAGAATCCCTCACGCTGAGCACAGAGCTTGACTTTGAGTCTCTTCATTAGTGAATATACGCTGTGAGTAACCCTGGCTCTGCCACCTCATCAGCAAATACACTTTGCATCACTGTTTAGATCAAACTTCAGTGTGCTGCCAAAGGTACTGCAAAGTATTCTCTGGGCTTGACCCTTTTGAAATAAAGAGATCAGTGTGTTCTAGCCATCCCAAGTGCCAAGAAGCAGAAAAGGAGAAGGTGTAATTGTAGACTTGAAGCTATAATTATAGTAAAGAGAGGACTTGACATATATGAACTGGACAGGGAGACGTTCTTCAATTGTTGTAGTAAGATGTATACCAGCCAAGCTGTGCTCCTAGCTATTCTTCCCCTAAAACTGAAAAAGATGTGTATCAATCATCTCTGCCTTGGTGTAACTGATATGGTTATAGGGAGGGACGGAAGGAGTAAGTTGCTCTAAAATAAATATATTGGTTAAAAAAAATTATCTCTAACAAAATTACTTTCCTAACAAAATGTTTAAAATTTAAAAAAAAGATAGCAAATTTTGGAACCCTAAAAAGACTGATTTGTTTTAAAGCTTGTTTTCAGAAAAAAGTAGCAAAAAATTTGCACAAGGAGTAAATTCTCCTACACCTTTATTTGCCTTTGCAGTCAGTGATAGGCTTGTAGGACTCAGTCTCTGGTGTGTTGCCACCATGCTCTCCCAAAGACCTGCATAGGGGTACTTGACACATGATTCTCTTCCACCTTTAATTCACTGCAGCAGCAGCTCATCTTGCTATGGGCCTTTCCAGGGGCCACTCTTAATTTTATTTGGGGTGCAGTAAAGGTCAGGAGAGGTCTCAGGAGGGGGTTGTTCTGTTCTTTCAGCACTTCCCATTAGCTTTTATAGGGGATGGAAAAGATTACCCTACCTGGAACCTCAGTATATTCCAACATAAATTATAACTTCATAGGCGAATCTCAGGAGTTTGATGTATATTTTGTAGGTGTTTCATTGTTTGAACCACCATATACTTTTGGACTTCAGAATTAAAAGCATACTGCACAAACTTTCTGTACTTAGAATTACTTAATTTTGGCCCCAGACACTTGAGCTGAAAATTTAGATCAACACCTGTTTTGACTCAGTTTTACTTCTGACTGTAATTTTTAAAAAGGCATAGATTTGCACAGATTTGGAAAGATTTGAAGAAAGTAAAACTCTGCCAATGTCCATGTGATCTGATCTTTAGCACTAATAGTGAAAGACATTAAATCACTTTTTGAAGAAGAGTAAACCAACATGTGAGGATTTACTTACACAGTATAAAGTAGCAGTGAATCTGTAACACAGTCCCGTTATTTTCCAATTATTTGACCATTACAAAGACTCAACCCAAAAGTATCTGCTAGACACCACTAGCAGTCCTTTGTGTTTTTTTGTTTGTGCAATCAGAAATGCAAACTTCATCTAATATATTAAACATGATTTAGAAGCACTAAATTTAGTATTGTAGACATAAATAAGCAGCCAGAATTGAATGATTGTAGAACATGTTACAAACGTCCTAAAACATTCCCAGGATAAAGACGGATAACCGGCCAGGATAGAGTGTGCTGCACAAAGGCAAGGAAGAGGGAAGGAAAGAACCTTTTTACTTAAGGCTCTAGGACACTGAGTCAGATCTCCTCTCACAGAGCCACATGAAGTTCTCATGAAACTTCAGGCAAAACAAGCCTGATCTCCAGAATGGAATTCATGCTGCAGTGAACCTTTCAGAAGTCTCAGGGTTGAAGGGATCTTTCTGCAATTTGGCCATGTTCTTCATATGAATTTCAGGACCAAGACACCCACTAACTAGTGGTTTCCACATAGAGCAAGATCATTAGCTATGTAAAGCCAGTTGAAACTGTGGGGAGAAACCAGGTTGCCAGTTACAAATGTGTACGTACTGTAAGTTATTATTAGTTGCTGACTATGGGCCGTCTGCAGAAGTCTGCTGTAGATGACTGCAGCCTGTATTGTGATACCCTTTACTGGAAGCCAGTCTTTGCAAAGTGAAGATCAAAAGTAATGTCAGAAAGTGTTTCATCCTCCTGACTGTGACAGCAAACCATTAGGTAGGAAAAAAAATAAAGCATTAAACCAGGTATGTTCAACAGCTAATGCTGACATAGCTATAATGTAATCAGGGGACAAATGTTAAATTAAAAAGTCATTCTGATTATCTTACAGTTTTTGCCAGAGCCCACAAACCACTTCCTTTTCTACCCATGTGTTATTCCCCATCTTCACAGCAGACAGAAGGCAGATGCCTCTGTGTCAGGCAGGCATGAAGGCAGTTGCTGTAACTTTCTGTGTCCTCTGCTTTCAGTTTGAAGCCCTGTATGGTGAGTAACGTTTTAGATTATTCTCCTTGCAGTAGGTGTCTCTATAGAATATAACTTAGCCAATGATGGGAGGTAGTAGATGAGGCATGATAGCAGGGGGTTGGAGGAATAAAGGTAATGGAGGGTATTGGCTGCAAAAAGACTGCTCTCAACTTCAGTATCACTAGAGCTGGTGGGAAGAGAATTCCTGCAAGTTTTCAGTGTTTATGTTCTTTAGCTCATCTGCTCAGTGTTACCCTTTAGCTGTTGAGACTGTAGTGCTCCAGCCAGCTTCCCTTGATGGATATAAGATCTCATAGCAGCATGATGGTGAATAATAAAGAGAAATCAAGTTATCAATATTAAATCTGCTCTCATTTAGGCAGGGAATTCTTATACAATGAAAAATGTATATGGCATGGAAAAGCAGATGAGGTCATTTTGGTGGAGGCTTGAAACACAGACTTAAAAGGAAGCATGGAATTCCTATGCTGTGTTTGAGAGGGTACACAGTGACAGCACCAGTGTCAGTCCAGCCTTAAACATGGATGTAGCATTTAACAAGATTCAGTGTTTTATCCCAGTTGTGCAAAATATCACAGCTTTACCTGTAACCTCTCTGAAATGCACATATTCAGCATGGAAATACAGGTAATAACAGATTAAGGAAAGTCTTTTCTTCCATACATATTCTGTCCAAGGATTTGGTATGATGCATCATATAAGTAAGATCTGAGATTTAGTGTGCACAGTTACTGAACACCATCTAAATATGCTCCTTTGATGGTCATGTGAAGGGCTATTAAATACTTGTTCCTGAAATTCTAGTGAAAAGGGATAGAATTTAGGTACTCCTGAGTTTTCAGGAAGAACTTCAGCTTTCCTCTAAATAAAAACTAGTTTTCAGCTCTTTAGGTAATGCACATACATTTTTGAAGGCCAGCTAATATGATAATATGCTGAGTTTTCAGATAGAATAAAAAGATGGGGGAAATCACAAGAAAGAGTAATTGTAATCAGTATCTCTAAAGAGAGTTCCCCTTGGAAAGTTGTTCCTAAATCTACTAACAGAAAATGCTTTCAGTTAGGTTACTTCTCATCTAGTCAATTTAGCACAAATACCTGACCAGCATGTTTTTACACATGACTGAAGCTATCTAGAAAGCTCTTCCTCGTGGCAAGAAATAAACGGTAATTTTAAGGGTACAAATAATTGTTCTGTCTGATACCAGCATTTCTCCTTTCCTTCAAATATGGTGGACAGGATTTGGGCAGGAGACTGGGTGAAAGAGATGACAAGAGAAAGAGACTGCATGTAAGAAGAAATGGTATCTCTCAAGTTTTTTTGTCTTACAGTGTCCTCAGCACAACTTGTGACCTCTGGATGTAAATAGGTCACAGGAGGTGATATATATGTGTGCATATGTACATCATGATTTGATAACCCAATTGTGGTAAAGAAATTGTTCATAAGAGCAGGGAGCCTCTCAGAAAACCACAGGCAATGGGATTTTGGAGTACAGAGGTGGAGACAGGATTCCATAGAGCTTGAGGCCCTTGCTATGAAACTGCACATAAGCTTTGTCACACCAATATTTGCAAAGAGTTGTCACTCTTCACCCGTGGATCTCCTGTTGTCAATACAGCAGGAAACCATGGAAATTTTTTAGAAGGGCTTCTGAAATATTCTCAGCACTGATTGTTCTTTCCGTGGTATGTTTTATATAAATTCAGCATTTCTCAACATCAGTTATACCATAGAAATAATTCAGATTAAAGATGGCTTCCTAGAATAAATTGGGCCATTACTGCTTTGCCCACAAGCACTCCTTTCTCACTTAATCCTGGATCTTGAAAGACAGAAATGTGTTAGTTTTAGGCATATGACTAATGACACTAAATTGACAGTGCCACCTTTCAGAGTGCCTTGGAAGTTTGAAACTATAGCAGCTTAAAAGCTATGTGCAGTTTCATTATGCATTTAGTATGAACAAAATAAATGTGTTTGCTTTAAAGGCAGGGTCTGCGATTTCCTTGCTCATCTTCAGAGGCAAACACACATGAGTGAAATTATGCTTGTTCTTTTCATCAGCTAGCTATCTCACATCCTACTAAATGTACATTCATTCTGACTGCAACTTGGCAACAAACATCCCAAATGTGTCCAGACATAAATAACAGAGTGCTACAAGTCCATATCATTACCTAGGAATGAATGGGTACAAGTGGGCACAGAAGATCAGCAGTCAGGCACAGGGAGGGGGAATGAGCAACTTCTTAGTATTCAGCAAGTGCATTCAAATTAGGTGCTGATGCAGAATAGCTAGTAAGTTGGAAATTTATATGAGCTCTCACCCATTGTGGTCATCCATGTAGACAATTTTGTGTTTTAATCTCAGGCACTGTTAATCTAATTCTAAAATGTGCTGCTTTTATTCTGTAGAAGCACACTCTTCTCTACAGCTACTTCTTTCAGAGGAATACTAATTGCATCACATTTACCAAAATGCTCATTCAGAGAAATACTTTACTGAGTGTTCCTTGAAAATAGTCATTTTAGGCTTCTGAGTTGGAGAGAATACAAAACAATCTTTCAGCTTGACACAAGGTCACATGAACTAAATGCTTAATGACCTCTCTCTGCCCCTTTTCATTAAAAACAAGGATTAAAACCATGATCTCTGACAAATATTTTAACCCACATGGTATGAAAGGGCAATTTCATTAGCTAACAGTGAAATTGAACTATTCTCAGAGACAAACAGAGAAAACAGATCTGAAGTTGTTACTTTAATGCTCAGAGTAGAGTTGTCCCAGGCTCCTCTGGGACATCAAAGGAACACGGCACCGCTTGGCTCTGTAGCTGCCCTGGCAGAGTCAGCATCTGCCTTTCCTCTCAGATGACCAGTGACAAATGTAGGGGTTTTAACTTCAGGTGGGTGCTTCTCAAAAGTATCAGATAAATTTATGCATTCATCATGCTCCCTAACTTCTGCTGTACATTTTTTTTTCCTCTTTTCCCTAAATAATTTGTTGGGTGTTTGGTTGAATTTTAAAGGTATGTGTTACTGAACTACAGGATGTCAAACTGCAGAGCACTTAAAATGACCTTTATCTCAAATGCTGTTCTCATAGCAACTGTTTTCTTTCATCATGCAACATATAAGTCATCAAGAATTATTTCTTTATTTGACCTTTGCTTTTATCTTTTCAGACTATATAAAATTTAAGGGCTTCCACTTTCCACTTTCTGTCTGTGCCTTCAGTGGTTCTAGAGCTCTATTTCACTGTTGCTTGGCAAGCAGTCTGTTTTCTCTGTCTTATTTTCACACCAGTGGTACAAGATGCTAAACACCTTGTCTGTTATATACTTAAGGAATAGTCCTGAGAGAAGTACAGATATTAGAACTGTCACAGAATTAGATAAGGGTGCTGACTGTGCACAGTAAACCAGGAAGAATTTGATGACTAGGGGAATGGTAAATCAGTCAAGAAGGGATAACAGTTTTTACAGTTCTCTAACTGAGCATTGCAAAGTGTCTTCCAGAAGTCCATTAGCTTCTGTGTCACACTAAAGGTATCTTAAATGAGAGTCGTTCATTTCAGTGCCCTTGCCAATGACAGTAACTGAGGAGCAAGAATTTAAAAAAGGAAAATAGCATGAACACTAAAAGACTGAAAGAGCTGAGATCATACAAAGGTACCCAAAAAAGAATGATCCTATGTTCCTGTGCATTTACAGGTTAATGTCAAAGATAACAGGTGCCTTGGAAAAAAAAATAATTATACTATGCAAGCAGTGCAATACCTGGCACAGCTGGGGTCTGCTCTGTGTGGATCTATCTAGACTACCATATAGCTGTAACACAAATAGGACAATGCACCAAAGTCCTTAAGTATTTGCCCTGTATTTCCTTAGCATCATAAAATCCTGATGTAGATATATTTCATTCTAAGCATCTGAAGAACTTACTCAGGCTACCAGAAAACAGGAACAGCAGATAGAATTTTTTTCTGTTTATCTGTCTGAACATTTAATTTTAGGGCACTGCAAAAAGGAAAATTCCAAATGAAACACTGTCAAACTCTGTTATGTTGCCAGTACTGACATACAAATAATTTCAAAGTGTTGGCATAGTGTGTGGTGATGGAGGCAGCGATTTAAAAAACAAAACCAGAACAATTATTAAAACTGTGTCTGTGTTCTGTAATGAAGATCACCTATGAACAATAAGAGGAAAAGTTGCTATTGGAAAAGGAACAAAACCATATGCATTACTTGAATGTTTTCTTGATGTATGTTTTGGAACATGATTGTGATAATTATAAGCTGTTTTGGTGCTGTGTCAAGCAGTAGGGGAAGCAGAACAAACATTGATGGAAATGAGTACTTTAGTCTGGAAAAGTATAATGCTGGCTTATTGCAAAATCAGGACTCATGAGAAATCCTTTTTATTTCAGGCAAATTTCGTCAGTATCCTGGTGAAAGAGCTTTACTTTCATGTCAGTTCTATTTCTGAAGTACACATATTACTTTGCAAAGGTGTTTTAAGAATTTGTGAATGTTATATATATGATCAATATAAATTCTTGTCTTGAGCATTTTCTTTCTACTTTGATTTTTATATTTAATTCTTTGTCATATCATATTAGTTTAGAGTGTAGCACAGAAAGGATCAGATAGGATAATGATACAAATTATAAAATAGCTTCAGCATCTTAACACTGCATGGTTAACCCCCTGTTCTTGCATCACTCTTCTTGAATTTTAAACAGAAAACAACTTTGTGTTTTTCAGGAGTTGACAGCTGCTCATCATGTGCATGCAAAAATATAGGTAAGATGTGTTTGCCTCATTTGGTTTACAGTTTTAAATGCCTTTCTGTACCAGAAAATACTGCCCTTAAAGAAAAAAACTGTCATTTTTAACTGCACATTTTAACATATTTCTATTTGATGGAGTTTTCTGTGCTATTGGTTGCTGACTTTACAAAGTCAAGCTGTGAGGTAGCAGGATGTCTTCGGTCAGTTCAGTTTTTTTTTCCTTTTCCAAGAAGTTTGTAAAATGAGAGTTACACAACATCTGAGAGCTTTTCATAGAAATTTTGGGAGGGTAAAATGTGATTTCTGGATTGCATGTGGGTGCACACACATGGTAACATTTTTCCTCTACACCTTTTATTATCTGAGCAATAATGGTGCTATAGCAGTCTAAGTAATTAGGCTGAAACGTTATGTCATGTCTCAAATCACCATCTAGTCCACAAAGACAAGTCGGGTCCTGTGGTTAAGGCAGACTAAGGTAGACACGTAGGAGCTTGGGATTCACATTCCATTTTCAATTTCCAGCTACATCATCAAACTAGCTGGGTTGTTGGGCCCAGAGAGTGGTGGTGAATAGAGTTACCTGCTTACAAGTGGGGTACTCCAGGGCACAGTTTTGGGCCCAGTAGTATTTAATATCTTTGTCAATGACCTCTATGAGGGTGCACCTTCAATAACTTTGCAGATAACACCAAGTTAGGTGGGAGTACAAGAAGGCTCTGGACAGGCTGGATCAATGGGTCGACATCAATTGCATGAGATTCAACAAGGCCAAGTGCTGAGTCCCGCACTTGGGTCACAACAACCCAGGCAGCCCTACAAGCTGAGGGAAGAGTGTCTGGAAGGCTGCCTGGTAAAGGTTCTGAGGGTGCTAGCTAGCAGCCAGCTGAACATGAGCCAGTGTGTGCCCAGGTGGCCAAGAAAGCCAGTGGCATCCTGGCCTCTATCAATTACTTTGTGGCTAGGAAGATCAGGGCAATGATTGTCACCCTGTACTTGGCACTGGTGAAGCCACACCTCAGATCCTGTGTCCAGTTTTGGGTCCCTCACTACAGAAAAAAACATTGAGGTGTTGGAGTGGGTCCAGATGAGGCAGCAGAGTTGATGAAAGGAGTGTCTGAGGAAGCTGGGGTTGTTTAGCCTGAGAAAAAGGAGGCTCAGGGGAGAACTTACCATTTTCTACACCGACCTGAAAGGAGGCTGCAGCAAGGTAGGGTTCAGTCTCTTCTCCTAAGTAACAATTTCTACACCGACCTGAAAGAAGGCTGCAGCAAGGTAGGGTTCAGTCTCTTCTCATAAGTAACAATGGACAAGAGAAGAGGAAATGGCCTCAAGTTGGTCGAGGAGAGATTTAGACTGGCTATTAGGAAAAATTTCTTCACTGAAAGAACAGTCAAGAATTGAAACAGGCTGCCCAGAGAAGTGGTAGAGTTGTCACCCCTGGTGGAATTTAAAAGACATGTTGGTATGGCACTTAGGGACATGGTTTGGTGGTGGACTTGGCAATGCTGGGCTAATGCTTGGACTTCATGATCTTAAGGGTCTTTTCTAATCTAAATTATTTCATAATTGCATGTTCAATTACAAACCATAAACCAGAGATAATCATCATCATTATAATCTTTGTCCCACTTGTTTTATCTATGAACAGGACAATGTGACACTGAGGCAGGGATTATATATCTATATAGTGTTTGGTCCAGGGGAGCCATTAAACAATAGCTAGTAACTGATATTGTAAATAATATTAGTAACTTCACCATTTAGTAGCTTTAGTAGTAAGTAATATTATCGAGGTCACTGATCTAATGCTAACAGTAATCTCTCCAGCCTTAGAGCAGATAACAGGCCAGGTCTCATTTATTTTGTCAGTAATGTCTGGCACAACCAGAATAATGCAGTGGTATCTCATTGTTATGTGTGTGACTATACTTATTGTTTTCATGTCTTCAGATCAGGCCCATATCTCTGACGCCGACGTGATGGTGGAATTTGAAAATGGAAACTTCCATTTCACATTCCCCAACCCCAAAAATGTGAGTGAATTCAGCATGACCCTCTTCAAAGGGAGTGAAAAGACGAAAATCTGTGCACTTCATTTGAGCAAGGAGAAAGTTATCTCCGAGAGTAATGTCACCTACTGTCAGACACAGAATTCAAGTAACAGCACCACTTTCATTCTTAAAAATCTGGAAAGAAAACATATGGACGTTTACACATACTGTCTGGAGATATTCTTACCCCCTCCTTACATAGAGTGCTGTCTGAAAGAAACCTACTTGTACCTCCAAGGTAAGTTTAGTTCTCTTCTCCCCTCACTTCAGTTAACTGATAAGTAGACACTGGGTATAGCTACGCTGCAGTGAAGAATGTGACTAGAGTTCTCACAGCTAATTACCAGGCAGCTTAAAACGACTTAGCATGGGGGGCTGGGAACAGTGGAGCTGTGTTGGCGCACTGCCCAGCATGTCCTCTCCTTAGTGATTCATCTTCTTGTGCAGGTTTTGCAGGCCATGCTGAGCTTCGTGTGGCGATGGTGGCACCCAAGTTAGCTCGACTAAAGCTTCTAGTCTCTCCTTTGTTCTCCTTTGCCTGCAACAGCAATTTCTCTTGTCCATTTTAAAGTTGCTGAATATAAATATTAAGATTAGGTCTAGCCAGCGAGAAAAAAAATCCATTCTTAGAGCCATCTTCAAAAGCCTAGGATTAAAGAAAATCGATGGTAAAATATCCATACTAGTAGTGGTATATGGAACTCTTGGATGCCATTGAGGTATGAAGAAGATAGTGTTCACCTCTATGAAGCAGACCTTCAGCTATAGAACCCTCTTAGAGCAGAAGTGATCCACAGCTGTTGAGAATTTTTGGCTGTTTACTGAGGAGGGCTTGGAGTAACTTCACAAGACTAACTGCCCAGGTTTTAATTTTGACCTGGCTTTCATTCAGTAGCTCTTTAGTGTACTAAACCGAAAGAGTCAATGGTGGTTTTGCTCACACCAATTCTTGGTTCTGCATACAGTTCAGTTGCAGCATGGTACTGCCTGTTGTCCTTCCCTTGCTTTCTTTTCTTCTCTCCCAATGCCAGCAATAAACAAAGAAGCTGAAATGCTACAGCAATTTTGTGCTTTATTCAAGTTGTATCTCAATCCTCTCTGTATTTAAAAAGCTTCTCAGAATCAAGCTGTGACATTTGGTTTTGTCTGCAGTGTCCATTTCCACTTGTATGGATAGTCAGATGCTCAGAGCTTTTTCTAAATGTTTCACACCCTGTCATGTTTTCTCCCAGATCTGGGCAAGGGCAATCTTGAGTACCTCAGCTTGCCTCCCTATCCAAACACATTTGCCAAAGTCTACCCTTCTTTTGACAGGCTGCCCTTAAAATAACCTGTGGTACTTACTGCACATAAGCTTAAACCTTGTTCAGATCTGAAACACCATGTTGGAGGTTGGGATTTTTCTGCTTTTTTATTTTCTTTCTCAGCATGTTCTCAAGCCTGGCTTGGTTTCTTTTCAGTCTACACTTTCAGTGCTGTGTACTAACAGTTTCCCCTTTCTGAAAAAATGCCATCTTCTGCTTCCTACTGAATACACTTTTCCAAGGTGACAATTCACCTCAGCAAAATCCTTCTGCAGAGTTCACTTTTGCTAATCTATTAATATGAAGAGGGGAAAAAATTGAAGTTATCTGTAGAAGGCAAAAATAAAAATTATCAGTAATGACTTTTTTTTGCCTTCCCATCTTCAGATAAGGAGGACTGCTTTTCACTCGGGCTTGTGCCATTGGTTATTATCAGCATGATCATTTTTGCCATTTCCTGTGTCTGCTGTGTTGTGGCCTGTTGCTTAAGGAACAAGGTAAGCAAACACATGAGATAATGCAGAACCCTTCTTCCAAAGGTCATGGATGAACTTGGTTTAATGAGATTTAGAGAGTGGAACACGCACATATTCACTCAGCAGTGCTGTATTTTTGACAAAAAGACTTGAGTTGTTAATTTACCACTGGAATTCAAGTCATTGATGACAGTAGCTTAGATTTAATTTTTCTAAGACTGAATTGTTTCTTGACTTAAAGGCTTTGAACCAAAGGAAAGTGGAGAAATGCTGCACAGATCAGCAAAATTATTTTTGTAAGCAGTTCAGCTGATAGTTTTCTTTAAGAAGGGGAAACAATCATCAGTGGAGCAAGTGTTCTGTTGCAAAACCACTTAGATTTTACTCAGGAAAGAAGAAAGACCAAGGACATTAGCTATTCTTTTGGGCAATGTGTGTTTTTAATTTTCAGTTTGTTTTATTCCAAGTTTTCTATGTGAGTTTGACGTGTCCATTCTGACATTAATGTTCCCACTGAAAACAGAGTAACTGCCTTACTTAATGAGCAAAGGCAGGAGTGGCAATGGTAAGTGACCACAAATTAAATTCATGGCATTTTCTCTCTGTTGGCAGAATCAGAAGTGTGAATCCAACTCCCATGAGTACAACAGTGAATACATGCCCATGGCAGCAGTGAACGCAGCTAAAAAACCAAGAATCTGAGGTTGTGTTAAGCCCAGCTGTACCTCTGCTTGTGTCTGCTGCAAGGCTTTCTCTGGGAGGGGAAGAACTGCTTGCTGTGTCTGCCGTTGATTCTGGGGGGATGGCTGGATGCCTGGGTGGGATTCTTACAATAGCTTGTTAATGGAGATCATGCTGCCACCTTGCAGGAAGACAAAACTAAAAGCAAAATCTCTGGAAACCTTCTGAATCATAACTGGTTCCTAGAAATGCCACTGCTTCACATCTCTGCAAAGCAATGATCTTACGCATGAGGAAGAGGTGCAGAATTGTTCTGTTCAGATTCTTGAGATGATGCATGGTACCGAAAATCCTTGTGAGGAAGTGATTTACTCGATTTATGAGTGTTCCTGGCTAAGGACAAATATTCTGCAGAGAATGTGAAGCTTCCTAACTACTTAAGTCCTACAGAAGCTACTACACAAGCAGTTTTGGATACAGAACAGAGGCAGAATTTGGACTGATTCAGATGTATGAGTGCTGCACATAACTGATTCTCCATTTCTATTCTAGGTATAAGTTGCTTGTGGCATGGAAATTTTGGAAGCAGTTTTCCAGCTGCTTGAACTTGGACAATGGGAAATCAGCATTTCCCCACCTCTCCCAACCTCCCTGAGCTCTAATGATGGCCCTGTGCTCAGTCATGTGACACCCATATAGCACTGTTCTGAGCTGTGTTTGCTCTAGCCTTGTTTGTGAACTGGCACCCTGCCTGATCCACTGACTTACGGACATGAAAATAATAACAAGTTAAAGATGTCAGCTTTTAGTTGAAGAAAATGTAAGATTCCTGTAGTACTGCTACAGAAAGGACTTTTATTTTGTAGTCTCCTTTATGATAAACTTTCCAGTGGAGACAAAAAAAAGACTACCTCCAAAGCCAGCCCTTGTGGTACAGCCATACTGCCATGTATTGCACACACTCTTTTGTTAGGGTTAGTTTAGCAAGGGAACAAAACCTGAGACTACAGCAGAGACTTCTCTGTGACACTCTGCCTCAGCTATGTGCATCTGCTTTTTTTGTATTTGTGCTGTCAATACACCTTTGCCATTCACACCTTCCCCTTATTTAAAGAAATCCTGAATGCTTTTACTAACAGGAATATAGTACAAGAACTGTGACACTCTGCCTCAGCTATGTGCATCTGCTTTTTTTGTATTTGTGCTGTCAATACATCTTTGCCATTCACACCTTGGGGTTCCTCTTATTTAAAGAAATCCTGAATGCTTTTGCTAACAGGAATATATTACAAGATGGATATATTGTAAGGCTGAAATTGTTCCTTAGGTCAATTCAAACTGACAAGATCTCTCTAAACTGGGAGGCACATTCTCTCCTTTTTGTATCTTGCAGCACAAACACAACACAGTCCCTATGGTCAGAATATTCATGGACTCTGCATTGCAATTATCTTCCTCTTGCCATTTCACATGAAACCTTTACAACTTCCCCAGAGGGTTCGGGGTTTACTTGACCTGCCTCAAATTGCTCAGAGCCTTCAGTGTGACTGAAATGATCGATCCTGCATGTTCCATGTGAGATTCATCAGAACTCTGATCATAAATGACCAGCTGTGATTCCAGCCTGCATATCTTGCCAGACACCTTTGGGCTGCAAAGTAGAACCAGAGTAGTACATTGATTCTAAACCTCTCTGTAGTACATTAGAAAACCCCAAATATTGGGCAGAGGATACTATTGAGAGAGATACACAGCCTGCTTGTCTGGCATACAGAAGGCTGGTTTCAAATTTGATAGGGGAAATGGGGATGAGGTGGAAATAAGGTGGTACATCAAGAAGATACTATTGAGAGAGATACACAGCCTGCTTGTCTGGCATACAGAAGGCTGGTTTCAAATTTGATAGGGGAAATAAGCTGGTACATCAAGAACAGGCTTTTCTTCAACAAACACCTGGATAGACAGAAGTATTGCCGAGAGAAGGTGCAAACTGCTAACTGTGACACTGAAAATGAGTAAAGCATCAAATCAGGCAGGGACTGCCAATTACTGCTCAGCTAAACAGCTCCTAGGCAGAGATGGAGAGGGGAACCCTGGTGTTTTGGGTCACATTACATTTTCTCTGACCATTCTTTGACAAATTACTTGACCTCCCCAGCAAACTAAGCTTGCCTCTATACATCCATAAATACATTAATTCAATGATTAAAAAAAATATTGATGACATTACTGTGTTTGAAAATTATTGGTGAAAATGGTTAACATCTACTGCCTGTAAGAACTGCGTGCAAGATCCTATGTAAAAATAGAGAGTCTTATCCTCTGGAGCCTTTCAACAGACTGAGAAGGAAATTCAAGAAATAAAGAGTTTCTGAAAGAAGGAAAAACTTGAGGTTTACCTTGGGATGCAATTGTCTAAACAACAAATATGGAAGTCTGAACAAAGCAGTTCAAAATACACACATCCTGCACTGGAGAGATAAAGTATTTATATTCATTATAACAAAGCTTGTGGAAGTCTCAAGTTCATTACTCCTTTCTTTTCGGAAAAAGATATTTTTATTCTTAATAAAACATTTTTTTATTATGCCATATGTGTCCATAAGAACCTTCATGCATGCATGCATGTTGTGTGAAATAATTAATCTCAATAAAATCCACAGCACAATGGGGAGAGAGTGCAGGGCAATTTATCCCTGTATAGCTTTTTAGTGGATAACAGGAAAAGGACTTAGAAAAAAAAATTTAAAATCTGAAAACCAAAAATTTGGACCTATATCTAGGCAGTGAGATAATGACACTATTTGCATGTGTTTATTTACTAATATTTTAATGAGAAAGTGGTTTTTTTTTCATATTGTCTCATATCTTCTTCCTTTCCTTTAATCCCTTATGCAGTATGCTTATAATGTCACAGATTATTTTGGGACATTTTTCAATTTCTTTCTGCTATTTTCCAATACCTCCAAATCAAAAGGAGCTAGAAGAAGATAAAGGATGACAAACTGAGAAAAAAGAAGGAAAAAACTATGTAAAAAATAGCATGAACCAAGCCTATAGAATGTGTGACAAGAAAGGATTAAAATAAAAGAATATAAAAAATAACAGTCAGTAAGATTAAACAATAAGCCTGATATTCTAACAGGTCATAATTTCAAAAAATAAAATGTCTCTTTGGAAACTCTCAGTTTTGGGAAAAGACTATTTCTGGAAGAAGCATAAATGATAAATATATCATAGTTTGAATACCTGCATATCTTGAGATGGTTTGAAATACAAACCTTTATATGTATTTTTCAAGTTTATCTTCCCAAGCTGAATTATTAACCTAAGTATGAATGCTCTTGGAATTTAATGATTAGCTTTAAGACTTCAGTTTCATATCTAATATATAGGATAGGGAATGAAGTGACACTAAGAGGACCATTTTCCCTTAGTACAGGTATTTCATTGACTTCAAAGTTCAAATAGTTCTAAATTCTAGCATATTTCTTACAGAATTTAAGAAGTTTATTTAAGGCTGAGGAAAAGAGGCTCCCAAACTTGAGTAAAGCAAACACATGAATCAAAATGAGAATTGGTACTGAAGATGTCACACAACATTACTCATAAAGTGCTTAATAATGTGAGAAGTTCCCTATACATTTGAATCTCTAAGTTACCATGCAGAAAAATACAGAAAAAAAAATACAGAAAAATACAGGGAAAAAAAGTAAAGGAAACACATGAATCAAAATGAGAATTGGTACTGAAGATATCACACAACATTACTCATAAAGTGCTTTATAATGTGACAAGTTCCCTATACATTTGAATCTATAAGTTATCATGCAGAAAAATACAGAAAAAAATTACAGAAAAATACAGGGAAAAAACCCCAAACAGGTATTTGAAAATATTTAGTTAAAAATAAATCCGTGTGGTCAGTAGGGACTACTGCCCATACAAGATTGACTGGGGAGCTGGATCTAAATCTCTGCCTTCATTTGACTTTAGCTGCAATGAGACATTCCATACACCCAAGTCCCTTAAGTTGTCCAGTCCATCATGGTTATGGCAGTCTACCCACTGAGATAAAAATCTCCTGTTTCCTTGAAAGGAGAAAGTTTGTATTTATGTTCTGTGATTAGGAGTTTTCAGTGAGTGGGGTTGCTTGGAGAAGAGGGAGGAATAGGAAGGATTAAACAGCTTTTCTGGCAAAATGAAGTGGACAGGTATGAACTGGAGATATGAATAAGAGGTCAGAGGGTGAACTTCATCTAAATGAGTATGCCTGAGCTATTTAATTCCTCTTGGGAGTAATAAGATCTTGCATGGCTTGAGATCAATTTTTAAAAAGAGATAAATCAGCTCTGAATAGCAACAAGAAAGATTTAGCTGCTGCACACATCAAGCATAATAATTTTTTTAAATTGCAAACATTAACAACTTTGAAATATCAAATGTCCTCCACGTATTAAATCCTGCAACACCCTTCCCAGTTTTTAGCACACTGTTGGCAAATCCATCACCAAAGATATTTCATCCCTGTCTCAATGCACTGCAGCAGCAAGTTTCACTGCAGCTTATATATTGTATTGCATCTCTCAAAATTAAGGCCAGGATTTAACATCTGAATCATGCAAAGACTTTCAAGGGGGAATTCCCTTTCCACCTGATGAGAAGGAAGGCTCATTTGCTGCCCTAGGGTTCTTCTGGAAAAATCTCTGAAACACTGAGAAAAGTGGAAATGACGTTACTCCAGCTGTGAGAGCAGGAGGGAGTACATAGCCTTCCAAGGGTGGCAATTTGAATATAATCTACGGAGTCGGAGAGCACTGCACAGGCTTCTCAGGCTCTTGAGGCCAAACACTAGAGGAAGGAGCTCAAAGCTGTGTCCTTTAGCTGGCTACTTTCCTCCACAAAGTGTAAGGTACTTGTTTTTTGTCTATTCAGTCGAATAATTCTCCCTCTGAAAAACAACAGCCTCCTCCAAAAAAACCTAACCCAAAACAACAAACCGAACACCACGCCGCCCCCCCCCGCCAAAAAAAAAAAAAAAAAGAAAAGAAAAAAAAAGAAAAAAGAAGAAAATATGTTCATTAAGACATTCTGTGCCTTCTGGCTGTGTCTCTGCTGTTCGGTCACAACTGGTTACCTCATGGAAATCCACCTCATTCCACACCCTCGCTCTTCATGCCTGTGCTTCAGAAGCCCAAGCAGAAACTCCCCTCCTGCAGCAGGATAGTGATCCAGGACATCAGCTGGCAGCAGCAGGACTTTACAGTGGCTCACTTGTGTAGAAAAGGGGAACTCAGGGGAATGGCCTGGCAGAAGGCCCTGCTTCGTTATACTGTGGCCATGAAAGAGAAGTTAAACACTTTGTCACGGCTGTGTTAGAGGGATGTGTGGGTTTCAGGAATGTAGGAAAGTAAATCTAAATTAAAGGATTTACTATCTGAGGAGCTGCAATATCTCATGACCATGACACAGCCCCATTTGCAATAGCAGTTGGCAAATATTGCCTGTGGGGACAGGTAGTTTCCAGAAAAATACCTGACATCCACCCTGTTGATTCACAAAACCGTAGCCAGACAGCAACTTCTATCACCTACAGAGCTTCTGTAGGCTACAATAAACAATCTTTAAGACATACTTCCAGAGAAAAAAGTACTTTGCTTCTAAAATAAGCCATGTTTTTTACTCAAAAACTGTGGTTTTTTGATTAAAACATGCAGCCAGTGAATAAGGATCTCTTTCAAGCACAACATATTTATTCAGCAAAACAGACCCTGGCCTGGGGCGTCATCTGTATGAGGGTCTGACACTGTCCTCCCATACACTGTTCCCATGGTTTTCCATTTGTGAAGGAGCTGCTCAGCCTCTGACAGGGCTGTGCTCTCAGCCACACAGGCACCCTCCATGGTCCTCAGCAGTCTGGCCTGACCAAGGAGCCACATCAAGGCAGTGCAAGAGATGCTGCTGAGCATCTTTTCTGCATTTCCTTCTTTCTTTTTCACACTGTCAAGGCAAAGTGGTATGAAGCATTTCCTACTGCACCATCACCAGCTTCAAAGAAAAAGGAGGCTTCATCTGCATCAGGAATCCAACCCAGATGAATCAGACCCTGTTTTTTCTTCCTACTAACTCTGTAGCTAATCTTTCTGTTT